ACCGCCCACTCCTGGTCTCTTCCTCCAAGATCCTTTCCACACTGTGTCCTGAGGCTTCAACTGTGATTGGTCTCTCTCCTCCCTTGGCCCTTCACACACCCTGCCCATGTCAGGCCTCTTCCCTTTCCTCCCCAGCCTATGCTTTGGCTCAAGGCCACACGCCTGCTTGGCCTCTGCCCTGAGACCCTGTCTGCCATTTGCATAGATAGGAAGAGGCAGAGAGGAGCACCTTCCAGCAAAAATGAAAGTTAGAAACTGTGCCTGTACTAACTCGGTGCAAGGGTTTGAGGTGAAAGATCCAACCCGGTGAATCAAGGAATCAACCCCAGTTTGCTTTCCTACAAATATTAAAAGGTTTTTTTAAAAAGTCAGGAGGAAGAATTTTTCTATATTAGAAATGCAGAGCCTCTCTCACTCGAAGATTTTAGAATATCTGGAAAAAGTCATAGGATGACCTCACAAGGGGTCACAAGTTGAAGGAATTTTTAATCAAATTATTAAACGTGTATATTTATTTTTGTGAACACACATTTAAGTCTAAGCTTTTTGAAGACTGTAAGCCTGTGCTAAAGACCCAACATATTCATTTATTTCATTAGGGTGGAAGAACCACGAGCATCCATTCTCTGACACAGCCTCCTACGAAAAGTCTGCAAGCAAAACCAAGGGAGACCAGAACTGACAGCCCTTATAATGGCTCTGATTAAAAGCCAAGCTGAAAAAAGACCCTAACATGATCTAACTTTCAAGAAGCAAAAAAAAAAAAAAAGAAAAAGAAAAGGCATTTGATCAATATTTAAAAAATATCATGCCTGTTGTAACACTACACCCTATATTCTTTTAGAAATATTGTAATGATATGATTATAGTGTAACTATGGTGTTTTGTGCAAGATAAGGCATTGAAATATCATTGAAAAAGTTATGATTCAGTGAATATAATTATCCTGCTTGTATGCATGTACCATTTTTGTATCTAAAGTTAGGAATATTGATTATACAGCTGTTCAGGCAGTCCCCGACTTACGCGGATCCGACTTATGTCGGATCCGCAGTTACGAACACGGACTGCGGGACCGCGCGGTCCCGCCGCCCGTGTACTCCCCGACAAGAAAAGCTGCTCCGCGTCTCCCTGGTCTGCTCCGCCAGCAGACCAGGCTTTTCTCACCGCTGGTCAGTTTCAGCAGCGGCTGAATCAGGAAGCCTCGGGGA